TTTCTTGTTAGGTTAGAAGTTAGTCCATTTGGCAAAATGTATCGAATCCCATTTCGCCATGTCTCATCAAGATTTGGGATGAGAACGAGAAGTGATTTTCAATCTCACTCTTAATTTGACCCGACATTTTTATTGTAAATGAGAAATCGTGATAGTAAATGGATATATTAAATCCATGTTCTATCCAACTATCTCTAGAAAATCATCCACATAGGAGTAGTGGTGAATTTGGAAATTTGAGCGAGTTAGAGTGGATTCAGGGGAGTACAAGCGGTCGTCCAATAAATGAAAAAAAAAAAAAAAAAAAAAAAAATTGGTAGAGCCAACATGGACGCAGGGATGACAAAAGCATAGTCTCCGTCCCGCTTCCCGTCTTGTTTAAAGTTAATTTCAAATTTAAGTTTTTTATTTAACAAAAATAATAAATTTATCATCATTTTTAAAGAGAACATAAGTTGTTTTTAACAAATTAGTAAAAAAATAATAATACTTAATAAATAAAGACATAAAAAATAAAAAAATAAATAGGGTAGGGGACCTACCCTGCTCCCGCCCTCGCCCCATCCATCTTTAATTGAGTATGGGGATAGGGTAACATAACAAAAATACTTGACGGGACGGAGGTGGGAATGGTCGACATGTCCCATACCTGCCAAATTGTCATCCCTACATGGACGATAGCAATATCTTGTCTGATTTTGTCCCCGCCTCTCCATAGGAGCGAGGATAAGAGACGACCGATCCTTCTCTCTTTCATTGCCATCTTAGAAGTTTGAACGATTTTTTTTAACATACTTATAATATTAAAATTTGTTATTAAAAAAAAAACGTTGATATCTCACCATACATGCATTGAACGAAGCGAGATAAATATAATTCGTGCGTTAAATGTGTATTCGATCGCATTTTTCAATTTAAAGCATACAAAAATGCATATTTATCTTATGGTGCATAATATTCAACGCGATTACTTTACAAGCAAGTAATGTTAAAATGTCTTTTACAACTTAAAAGTCAATCATGTGAGGAAAGTTTAGGCCTTATTTTAGTTTTTTGTTTGGTGGGAACTATAGCTTTGTTTACTGGAATTTGGTGTAATATTGTAGCATTAAAAACTCGTGCTATTATAAGTTTTTTGCAACTTGTTTAAATGTGGACCAAAGAAGTCAATTAGTTTGTATTCTTTAACCATCCAACTACATCATGACTACTCGATAAGTGAACCACATGTCGGTGACACGAAAAAGATTGGTTAATTTTTTGCTCCTCTATTGTGTCGTTGTCTTTTCTTTTTTAATTATTGATCAAACTTCTTTTTTTGCTACAACGGGCAACTTTGTCTTCGACTTCATGATAATGCTCAGATATTTTGATTAACGGTTGTGGCTAGAAGACAATTTTGAAAAGTTTGGCACGATGTTCAACGGATTATACCTTGTACAATTGCATTAGACTCAACACCATGTTACATTCACGATGGTAAGCATTGAGAGTCTATTAAATAGAAGATCAATGCGATTTGTATTCGGTCAGTTTGTTATGATATACATTTATTGCTCTTGTTTGGTAGGGATTAAGATCATATATTTAGTTGATTTTAATAAAAGTACACAAAGTTGTTGGTCTTATAAAATATACGATTAAAGATAATTGTTGACTTTAACTTATATTAAAATTTAGATTTTAATTTTAAGTGGTAATTACATAAAATAGTACTTTAAGTTTTTAAACTTCCATAATCAGATTGGAAGTTTAATATTTCAAAAATCAGATATTTTATAATAGATACAATTTTTTTATATTTAATTAAATATTAATAATAATATTATAAAAATTAATTT